TGGCATGGATGCGGCAGGTGGAGGTGCGATCAATCATTGCCAGTCTAGCTATGGCTGCTATATAGACATATATATATATGGATATGGGGAAATAATATATGGAGAAGTTTAACCTGTCAACGAACGGCGCTGCCGCACTTCAAAAGAGGTTTATTTATTTAATTGTGTTTCGTTTTTGTTTTGCTCTCTATGCTGACTTATCTGAGTCTCTGACCAGCGAGTGGCTCGCTTATCAGCGCTGCCACTCAAAATGTCCTCAATTTAGATGCAGCGCGTTTTTCGGTAGCGCCAAATAGGCAAACAAATGCAGTTGGGCTTGGGGTTGGGTGCTTGGGTGCTTGGGTACTGCCACTGGCTGAAACTTCTCATAAATCTTGCAGCCGGCGCGCCGCCACAGTGGCGTCAGTGAGCAAATAGCACCACCCTCCCCCGGCCCCTGCTGGCAATGCTTGCAGGAACATGTGGCAGGGGCAAACGGCACTCGCTGTGGCAACTCACGCTCACGCAGCTAATCTAATCGGCTGGCGCTTATTACAAATTTCTATTTCTATTTGCTGTTGTCGTCGCTTGATTTCTAATGTTGACTCAATGAGAAATGTGGCGCAGACAGCTTGAGGTTTCACCTGGAGCTGACGGAAATGGCTGTCAATCTTTTGGCTTTGCAACTGGAGTTGGGATTGGCTTTGGCTTTGGCTTTGGCTTTGGCTCTGGCTTCGCTGCGGCCTTTTGTCTGACTCGATCCTTTGGCGCATGCGTCGCATTGGCTTTGTTTAACCCTTTTTGGCTGCGAGCAACATTTCCGGCAGCTGTGGGCGTTTCAATTTTGGCACTCGTCAGCCAAAGGACACTGCCTCAATTTCCATCGACCCCTCCTTGTTGCGTCTGCTTGTCCTTTGGCCTGTTCGTTTGTGTATTGTGATTTTGCGGTTGCCGGCAATTGAACTTTTGAGCGATGTGCTCGCAGCTCGCAGTTGTCTGCAAATGCAATTTGCCTTACACACAGGAAGCAATTGTTGTGCCACTGCTGCTGAAATTTACCGTTTTCTTGGCCACACACCCGCCACTAGAATATATGGACTGTCACTTATATACAGATGCCAGTATGTACATAAATATATATGTATTTATATATAGTTATATACTATATTGTATATATTGTTGTAGTTTGTGCATTCAGTATTCAATATGCAAGTGCTCAAGTGGCAGGAATTTCGAATTCCATTCGAAATGTGCAACGCAGCACATCCTTGTCGCTTGTCTTGCTATCCACTGTCCGTCCGTCCACTTGGCCTGCATGTCCTGCGTAATGTCTGTAATGCAATTTAGTTGCCTTGTTGTCCTTGCACATCCGTGCACACCCATTCTGGGCTGTCGTCTGTCGCTCTGCCCTTCGCCCTCCACCCTCCACCCTTCGCCCGTCTCCTGCTCCTTGAATACATTTGCCTTATTGTTTGTGTTTAATAAATTTTGCGTGTTGTCTTGTTGTAGATATTGTGTATGCATCTTTGGACGTGCGTGTGAGTGTGTGTGTACGATTACGTGTCGGCTGCCCGGCAGCAATATTTGTTTGCTGTCCTGCACAGGCCAAGCAGCACGCCCACCGCCAACCCTCCCACTCAGAGTTCAACTCTTGACAATAGCCAATACGAAAACTAGTATATGAAATTTGTGTATTGACAAATAAACGTAGATGTCCATGTAAATGCAATGGACATGCCAATGGCAATGTTCTCAGCCCCATCCCCGGCCCCCGCCGAGCCCAGTCCGCTGCTGCACCTCGTTTCTAGAAGCTATAAAATGCTCAAGAAGTCAAAAGGCATAAATTGCATGCAGGTAAATTAAAATGGAATTTATAGCATACTTTGTGGCGTTCATCTATTTAGAGAAATGCTTTTACCCATTCGAATTTGTGCATATGCATTCCAACCGACCGACGCCGGCTGAGGTTGACATTATTGCCCTGGCAGCTAGCTGTTATATATAGTGAAGGTGCCATACGCTCAACTCGCCAGTTATTATAGCAGCTACTAGTTCATTATCATCCTGTCTGTGGCTTATCAAAGGCGCATTAATGCCTGTCGCGCTGCATTCATTTGGACGCCTACTGCATCTGCTGAAGGTGGCTCCATCAGCAGCTACGCTGTGGCGCACCAATTACGCTAATGTAAGTAATTATGCATTTCGCACACCACAAATCCCCCGCACACTCACACTCACACACAACTATCGACAGACAGACAGACAGACAGACAGAGAGACTCAGCAGCTAACCAAGCAGGCGAGTGCAAACATGTCAAGTGAAACAAAGTCCATTTGGTTTATTAATTTACCATACGACAAAATAATTAATTACTGTCACGCCTTTAAGTTGCTTTTGCCATGTCGCCGCCTGCCATTCCCTCTGCCCTCTGCCCGCTGCCCGCCTGCTCTGGTTATGTCTTCGCTTGCCTCCTTTCCCTGGCTGTTGTCTTCGCCTAGGGGCCACTGTTTTTGCCATTGTCTGGTCGCTTAACTCGCTCCACTTTTTCCACATATTTTCGCTCGTGTTGTGTTTATTTAAACTTGCCAAATGAATTTAAAACAATCACCACACTCACACACGCTTGGCTGTATAAATCCCTTCAGCTCCCCCTCAAGTGATGTCGACAAGTGCCAGAAACCTCAGGCATAGGCCTATGTCTCGATTGTGGCCTGTAGCTTTCTCTCTCTCTCTTCTCTATCTATCTCTGTCTCGCTCACACGCAGTGACTGTGCTCTCTGGTCTCCCTGGCCACATGATGTCAACATGACTGCAATGCCGTGACACATGGCACAACAAGCCCAAGACGTCGACTCCGGCTCTGGCTCTGGCTGCGGCTATGGCTCGGTAATGCACACGTACAACCGGCCAGAGACGCCGCCGCCATTAACAACGCCAAATGCGACGCCATTTGTGAAACAAGCTGCAACAACAGCAACAGCAACAGCAACAGCTACAACAGCCGCCACTGCAAATTGCTGCGACGTCGGTGAAAATTGCAACGGCGTCGACGTCGGCCTGTGGCAGCCATTATGAAGATTTTTTCCAGTTGCACTACATGTCTAAACAGAGCCAAATGAGTGTTTCCACTCCACTGGAAAGCGAGATAGCATGGTATACAGAGAGGGAGGGAGAGGGAGAGAGGAAGAGGGACTGCACTAATCGCAACTTTGTCCTCATACTCAAAGTCGTCGGCGTCATCATGTTGGAGCAACAAAAAAAGAAAATAACAAAAAAAGAAAGAGAAAAATAATTTGCAACAATCGCGAGTCGGGCAAGAGGCACATAGCTCTAGAGATGCCCTACGGCCAGCATAAGCCTGTGTGTCAGAAGGGTCAAGAAACTGACAAAGGTAGGAGAACTAAGTATGCCTACAAGAGGCCGCGGGCAAGGGTTAAAGTGCCACACTTGCTGCTTTTTTGAACCCTTCTTGTTTTTAACTCAAGTGCAGTGGCTCTTCGTTAAGTTTGATCTTTAAATAGTTGGGTTAGCTAGCATCGTCAGACGTCGTCATTTGCTGTTGTAGCGCATCTTGAGTTCGTCTTGGCCCAGAACAATAAACATGCCACACACTAAGCGCCGTCGCGCTGTGGGCTGCAACATGTAACATGAGCGCTGACAACAATGCAACGCTTGCAGCGCAACGTTTTGGCCATTTTGCGCTTTTTTTGGGGTTACTTTTGCTGTGGGCCGACAACAACTGCAACTGCAACAAACTGAATCGAAGAGCCGAAGCCGACAAGCGTCAAGCGAGCCAGACGTCGGCCGGAAGAAAATTGCGCGCCGCACACATGGAAAGAGGCATGGGAGCTGCCATATGTGACTGGCAGCGGGAAAGGGAAAGGGAAAGGGAAAGGGAACGGGAATGGGAACGGTACTTGGTGCCGGGACCTGGGACTGGGCACATGTGGCAGCGAGTAGGCGGAGCACGCGAAATGAAACTTTTTGCTGGTTGCTTTAGCCGTTGTTGCCGTTGCCTGCAATGCGCGCCAAATGTAAACAAAATATTCGCGCGCCTGCCATAATTATGGCAACAGCAGCAACAACAACAACTACAACATGCATGCAACAACAAAGCAGCCATGCATTGCATTGCCCTCGTTCCTCGGCCGATGTCTGCCTGCCTTTTGTTTTTGGTTGGCCAGCCAGTGCGCTTAACCCAACCCCAGCCGCGGTCGCAGTCGGATTCCCCTTTGCCAGTCCCGTTTCCCCAGCAGACTGCAGTGCACTTCATTAGCACCAACGTCATCGTCGTCGTCGTCTTATTTGGGGTCTGGTTTTTAACGACTTTAGCAACGCCATCGTCGCCATAGTCAACGACGACGCCATCCATGTCGCGCATGTTGGCAATGGCTGTGCGCCCGTCATGCACTCGGCTTGACGAGCTGGCATCGAGTTTCACTTGGCAGCCGATGTCTGGAAAACTGTTAATTATGCCAATGGAAATCGGGCGATAAATCAAATTGGCAAACATTGCATTTGCATTATCTAAATGCGACTTTGAATACAAAGAAATTCAAGTTCGAGCAGAAACAATTTCCCTAATGTGCCCAAACTGTTAATAGCATTAAACTAAAAGCGGGCGAAAAAAAATCAGTCAAGGATATGCAGACATCCGCCGGAGGCTGGGAAAGTCGAGCCGCAGTCAGACAGCGCAGACGGCGCAGACGGCATCGCCTTAGCCGAGTAAACATGAGTGATGCGCTGATTTAAACGGCAATCCATCAATGTCAGAGGGTGGGCGCGCCTAGAGTGGGACGGCGGGGACGGGGGCTAGCCTAATGCCAGTTCCAGCGGGGGTGGCGAATCGGCTAAGCTATTTTAAAACTCAAGACTGGATGCTGGACCAGAGCAGAGATAAACATTCCAGCGTCAAACTTCAACTTTAATTTCCGATTTGTTTGCTTATCGCCTCTGTCTGGCCTTCGGGCTATGGTCAGTCGTTAGCTTTGGCCCCACACAAACACACACACACACACACACACACACGCATGCACACTTTTACAAAATTCCATTAAGATTTTTATCATTTTACATACGCAGCAACCGCAAAGCGAAGGGCGAATGTGGCTAATGGCCAAAACTGTAGCGCAGCAGTTTGAACTTCCTTAACAGCCGCTTGACCGTAGCGCATAAAATCTTATAGTTCTGTTTGTTCTTTTTTCTCTGGCTGTGTTTTTTTTTTTGGCTCCCGTGCAACCCTTACACGCAGCTGAAATTCTTTTGCGTATCCTGAATCCTGATACTGCTGCTGCTTAACATAAAGTGGCGCATAACAAATCTGTTTATTTGTATTACACATCCGGCTGGCTGGACTTTCCGCTCTGAACTTTGATTTGGCTGGTCAGGTTTCTGCTGAATAGTTTTGGCCGTGGCAATTTGCTTTTAGTATCGCATCGTTTGGGACAGTCCGAATACCATTTACCATTTGCTGAGCCCTTTGATGGCTCAAATGGAAATCTAATTGGACGCGTTGAGCAAGCCATAAGCCATTCTATGGACTGCATAACCCAACTGGAAACCTGGCCTAAATGGTTGTTACGGTCGTGGGATTTGTTTAGTCCATTTTCAATGCCTTTGATAAGCAGCTGAATGACTTTATAAATTTTGCTTTTACTGCGCAGTTGAGTGCCGTTAGTGCACGTCGAGGGCGTTGCCGGGCAGATCATCAATTTCTACTTGGCACATCTCATTATCTAATCTGGTTGGGACTTGCTGGGTTTCGTCAACACATTTGCATTGAACCGCCTTCAATTAACGTTTACATCAGCTCGCGTAGCCACGCCCACTGCCAAAGCAGCTATTGGGCAAACTAATCTTATCAAAGTGGCCAAAACCAAATATGGCTCTGCTAAGACCTTATCACAGACTAAAACAACAAGAGTTGGGTTGGGTAAGCGAATGTAACTGCAGATTGCGATAAGATGTTGGGGGCGAGCTGTGTTGCTGCTCTGATTGGTGCATTTATACCACACACACACACACACATATGCATAAGTATGTATTTCTTTTTTTTTGTTCTTGATTGGACTTACCGTTAAGTGCTGAAACAGCCACGCTCTCAATATGTTTGTTGCTACTTTTGGGAAAATGCCACGCTTCTTTTGGTTCTTTTTGCCGCTCGCATCGTCGTCCTCCTCGCCGGTGCCCTCGCCGCTGCCTATGCTGGCGTTGCTGGCATCACCTGTGTGAATGAAAAGAGAAAGATGCAGAGTCTAGAGTTTAGCCGGTTCTAGATGTGAGCTACAACTAATGTCAATATTGCCAGAGCACTAGCCTCCTCCACAGCTCACAATTGTGTTTGCTTGCAAGTTGTTTGTTGCTCTGTTCAGTTCATAATGTTTGTCAAGTGGGCATAAAATAACATTACTCGACTCTGGCCAGCCAGCCAGCCAACCAGCCAGCCAGCCAGCCAGGCAGGCAGGCAGGCAGCTAGCTAGCCAGCCTGCTGCTTAAACATAATGATAATCATATGGATGACATTGTTTGTGGCTGCCGTTTAAGACAAGTCAAATCAGTGCTGCTCCCTCCGTCTGCTCGTCTGTCCCTGCGTCTTGCTCGTTGTGGTTTATAAACAAAATTAATATTTGTCATACGCAGTCTTTGGCTTTGGCTTTGGCTTTGGCTATGGCTTTGGCTTTGGCTTTGGCTCTGTGCTTTTTGGTAATGTTCATGCATAATTTTTGGTTAATTTAAATTTTCTGGGGCTTTTATCTTTTGTTTGCATGGGAACAATCCAACATCCCCCATCAACTGGCACTCTCAGTATTTCCGCTATGGCATTTGTTTTCCCTGTTTTCGGCATCATCATCATCGCCATCATAACCGGCAGCAACATCATATGATTTTGTATATTTTTGTTTAATATTAAGTATGTTATTTGTGTGTTTACTTTAAGTTTTAGTTACACTTAAGTAACTCAAATGCCTGCTTCGCCTCAAACAGGAAGCCCCAAATGGCTGCGCACATGCAAACAAAATAAACCAGGTCCACAATACCCTATCCACGGCCCATCCAAGGCCCGTATCGTCCGTACGAACTATGCCTGCTCCGATAGTATTGCATAATTTCACGCTCCGACCCCGCCTCGCAGCTGAGTGTGCCAAAACAAATATTTCCCAACACCAAACATGGTGCGTCTATGAATGTCTAACTTGGAAGCTATGACAGCGAGTTCCTCTCCCTGGTTGCTTCATAAATTTTCCATGCTTTATCTTTCGCACAACACCTTTGCCTCTTTGCTGCCGCGCACCTGCTTCAGCTGTTTTGCCCGCTGGCTTTTCATTAATTTCTCAGTTAACTCATTCATTAATTTTCAACAGCACTCTGAAAAATTTTCACAGTAGCGCATGCCTAAAACACACACACACACACATTCAGGGCGGCAGACTTCACGCCATTTTGCGTAAACCGGAAGTTCGTTTTGATTAATTTAGTCGCCGATGGAGACGTTTGCTGAGTGCTCGACTGCATGGCCAGCCGTGTGGTTGATTTTCTAAACACGACCATAAAACAAAAGCTGATGTTCAGCAACACAAAGCAGAGTCAAGCAGCACAGCGAATACCCTACATATCTAATGAGAAGAGCCAGCTAAATTTGATGTGGTTCAATTTCTAGTTTACTTTTAGGTGAAGAAATTTTGTTTGAGCTGTTCAAGAAAGTGCATATACCCTAACCGTGGCAAAGAGCTCACAAGTGTATGCATCAAAAGTTGTAAAATTAATTTACCAGAAACAAACAAACAAACAAAAAAGTCCAAAACAAAAGAATACCCCAAAAGGCACACTTGTTGGTCATTTTGATGGGGCCTCGCCTTTCTACTAAGCTGCGTGGAGCGCTCTGCATAATTTAGCAATTATGGAAATGCGTGATTGCGATGGTATTTCGCTGTGGCCAGTCGGAGACGCTGCTGACTCGAGCTGACGCGAGCAGTCAGCGAAGCTGGAATTGGAGCCCATTATGGATGCAGTTGCTCTTGTGCTTATCGGGCGCGCTGCACTTTAGGCAGGGCGCATTGAGCAACTAGCTGCTGGCACTTAACAACTTCATTAAAAGTTGTTTATGATCCTCGAAATTGATTATTCCACTCATACGTAAAGCGTCCCCAGACGCAGACGCAGACGCAGACGCAGACACAGAGGCTGTGGCAGAGGCTGCGGCATCGTTCGCGAAGCACTCAAATCGCGCCGGGCGCGCGCTTAAGAAAACATGAAATTGATTAATGCATTTGGCTGCAACATTGAGGCACATCCAGCGAGATACAGAGGTGGGGAGCTGCTGCCGATGCCAATGTCGAGGCGGAACGCTGGTGCCGTCGGTATCTGCTGCTGATATGTAAATTCCTTCAAGTGGATTGCACTTTGCGCCAAAGACTCTCGACTCTCGACTCTCGACGCTCAACGCTCGACGCTCGAATCGAAGTCATTTCTTTGGCTGTGTGCTCCAATTTTACATTCAATTCGTGGCAGGGATCTGGCAAACCAAAACACACAATTAATCTTTGCCCAGAGACGTCGCTGCTCCGCCGGCTGCTTATTATTGTTATAATAACGATGTGCAAAAGCACTTGTGGCACTTGAGCGGCGGCACACTCGTGTAACAAAGATTGGGCCAGTTCGGCAGTTGGTGTTGGAGCTGCATCTGGATTGGGGAGCCGCTCGACCAAAGTGCTTTTTGTTGTAGTACTTGCTATGCGGGACGATAAAGCGGCGCGTATTTTTTAATTGAATTGTTAAGCGCAGCGCAAAACTTAATTAATTTTCACTATAACTTTGGCGACTTTATGGAAGCAGCTTCTACCCCCAGCCTCTGCTCTCTGGCATTCCCTAAATAAGTTTGTGTTGGGCAAATAAATTCGATGCCGTCGCAATTTTTGTTGCCTTCGCCCGCTGCGGGTGGCAACTGGAGCGAGGGCATCTCTGAGGGGGCGTCCTAACAAGCATTTTTATTTATTATTGGCTTAAAGCGCCAGCGACGGTCTGCGGCAGGACGAAGCACAAAGGATGCAGGAGCCACTGCGTCTTTGCCGCAGACTAACTGACAGACAGACAGACGTATGTTGTTATTATTGCAAGGCAAAGCTCCTACACCCCCTCCCCCACCCACTCCCGGCCACCTCAGCTACAGTTGCCATTGGCTGGCTGGTTAGTTGGTTTGCCCTGCTTGCCACATTTTTTTCTACAATTGCGCAAAATTCCAATTTGCAGTAAATTTTGCGATTTTTCCTTTATACGGACATACAAAACATTTTTAGTTTCCTGCTGGCTTTCCTTACCCAACCAGAGCAGGGAAGGAGAGACAAGGCACGAGCCATCCAAGACCAAGCCAACCCACCAGTAAACCACCCACGCTCTGATGTCGCCCCTAAACCATCAACGAGGTCGGAGCCAGACCCCGCCCAGCAGCTGCTCGAGTTCAGAGCTGCATGTTGACTACTTATAAATGTTGTAAATGGTTTTAATGGTAGGTCTCTTGACCATTTGTTAAAAGACCTCACTCGATCCGATTTGCCTGACACCATAAACTGAGAGCTCTCTAAACACCTGCAGATAGTTTCCATAGAGTAACTGGCGCTGCTATAAATCATATATTTACATTATATATATTATATAAATAATATCAATCGCATCGAAAAAATATTGTTTGACAGTTGAGAAAACTTTTGGTTTACAGAAGTGAAACAGGAAAGATAAAGGCCCAAAGCAGAGCAGAGATTGGAATAATAAATAGAAATAATATGTTATAAATGCATTTATGGATTTCCATAGCAAAAATGCACTTTTACATGCTGTCTGCATGGCCAGAGGAAAACAAACAAATTGCTTTTCAAACAGACAGCGGAAAAGAACAAGCATTGTTTTTCTTCTCTTCCTTCTCATTCTTCGGGCCAAAAGCGCGTAGCCAAATATACGAAACAACGAGCACTTGACTTGCAACTGGCAAGCCAGAGGGAGGGGGACCACGGCTGGCTGGCAGCAGGAGAGGCAGCTGAAGCGAACCGTAGCAAGTTGTAGCCAGCAAGCAAGCAGTTTTCAATTAGTTTTTAAATAAACTTTTTCCTAGCTGCTTCACACAAAATGAAAACCAAACGCCCAACTTTCCATTTTCATGTAATGTGTGGGCGTGTGTGTGTGTGTGTGTGTGCGTGTGTGTGTGAGTTTTCATTTAAGCAATTTTTGCGCCTTCGCCTCGACTTGGGGCTTTTGTTTATACAAAATCATGCCAATCGTCTGTCAATCATTTTCCAATGGGTGCCCAGCCCCTGAGTGCCAACCACCGCACACCGTACGGTGAACACTAAACATGGCGGAAGTCTGCTTAAGCTCACAGCTAGGCACAAAAAACTTGGAGCGTCTCGAGTGCGAGCGGGAACCTATGGGGTTGGCCAACTAATTGAGTTTCGCTTTTAATAATAATAAACACCAGCTAGCAGCAGCAGCAGCAGCAGCTACTCGTGGCGCAATTGACTTGCGGCTTTCTCGAGAGCCGTGCCACGTTGTGAGTTGAGCCTCGCAACTTGAGGCATTTACTTAATTGAATTCAAAACATGTCAAGAGAAATCAGCAACGCCCTGGGTGGCATCCTGACTCGAGTCCAGTAAGTCGACTGCTTTGTCACACGGCTAGATGAGCTGCAGCCAGCTCAAAGAAATGCAAACACTTCAGCGGCGACTCAAGAAGCTGTGCTCGAGCTTGGCCCACTTGAGCCAGCGAGCTCTGCGCAGCTCACGCATGACAAAAGCTTTAAAAAGGGGCGTCTTCCTCTTTGTCATAGTCGTAGTCATTGTTGTTTCTGTTGTTGTTGCCTTTCAAGTGGGTGGCTAAACAACAACAAACACTTGTGTCAGCCATCCAAGTGAGACCTCCAAGGTGTTGCTGCTGTTGGTCCGATCTCACTCATTAGCCAACACACACACACACCAACACACAGAGACACATTTTGTGACTCTGTAATGATTTATATGCCTGCGCTGCTTTAAGCCAAGCGCATTTATTGCTTATGAAAACTTTATTGAATATGCCGTGAGTGATAAACATCGGCAATTAATTTGCCAGCACTTCATTCCCTCGCTCGGTCGCCCGCTCGATCGGTTGAGGATTTGTCGCACATCTCAGCGGCTCAAGAGTCAAGTGCGGCAAGCGCCACTGGGCTGACAATTATGAAAAGCTATTACTTTTATACGATCGGCAAATTAATAAAGCTTAAAGTGCTTGCCATATGACTTAATTAAATGTTGAAAAATTGCAAGAGGCGCCTTCATATAATTGATGGGCCAAGTTTCTACTATTTGCTGCTGGCCTATAGCGAGTGCTGTCTATGGAGCTGAGTTCTTGTGAAAAACGTGAAGTAGAATCAATTGCATTCATAATTATTGCTATTACTCTCAAGCAACTGTGATTTGAAATTCTTTGACTGCCTGGAAAACTCGATTAATTTTCATATGCACTTAATGTGCCCAATTTCCCTGACGATTTTCATGTGCGAAAAACTGCAAATTATGCGAGGCTTCAAAATTATGATGGATCACCAATCGGGCAACGCCATAAAACGGCAACAAGTCAATAAGAACAACAGCCGCAAAGGCTTATCCAGCTCTGGCATATGGCAGGCACACACACACACACACACACACACTCACACCTCGAAGTCAATAGCAATATTTGTAGCCATTTTTTGTTGTGAGCTTCCCAGGCCCAACAAGGAGGCTGCTACAAAAACAAAATAAAAAATATTTATAAAAAAAGAAAAGAAAAGAAAAAGAACGAATCGTTTTGAGGTATTAACACAAAAGCGGCTTTGGCTTTTAGCTTGACCAGTTTGCCAATGCCTGCATATGCTATAGCCATGAATGTATAGACATACCTGCACACATACACATAGAGATACATACGTGTATGTGTACTTTTTATGGCGGATTTGTGTGATCCGCTGCAATATTTTTGAGCCTCGGCTGCGTCGGCTGCAGCATTGTTTTGCCGGCAGAAAATATAATAATAAAAATAATAATAATAATAATAATGCTTGTTGCTGCCGTTGCCGTCGCTGCTGCTGCGGGATGCTGCAACATGTTCATGCCTCATTATTTTTATACGGATTTTTGCGGTCCGTTGAGATTGCTCGCTTCGCCTTGGACTTTTGCCATCGGTTCTCAGGCTGTTGTAAACTTTTTGCGCCTCAAAACCCAGCACAAAAAACCGACTGCAACAAAAAGCGCAAAAAGTCGCCCAAAAGTGCTCAAAAGTTTATTAAAATTCCAAGCGTAAATGGCAACGCCAATGAAAGGCTAAACAACAGCAAAAGTAAGCAAAGCCAACACATGTTTTCACGCCTACCCAAAGCAGAAAAAAGTACAAAAAAAAAACAGTTAAAAGCTGTCAGAGCAGCCGCCTTATATGCAGATTAGCCATATGTGGCTGTCTCTCTCTCGCTTGCTCTCGCAGCAGCTGTCCCGCTCTCGCTGCTGGCGTCCGTTATTACATATGCAAAATCGAATTATTCAAATTCAATTATTGTCAATTTTATTTATTATTAATGCGCATAATTGTCAAATTTGCCAAATTTATGAACGCAGTTAAGGAATCACAAATAAATATATATATATATATATATATATATATATATATATATATATATATATTTATATATATATATATAGTCGACTGGTTAGTCGACTCACACACACACACACAGAGTGCAGCCTCTACTCCTGGAGTTTATGCAAATCCGAACACAACGTCTGGACAAGATTTTTGTGCGCTTTGCGCTCAATCCGCACGAATTTATGAGACATGTTGAAATGCATCTCACCTTGATTGTGGAGCCGGTCTGTGGAGCCACCAAAGACGTGCAGCTCAGTCACATATGATGATGTGCGTCTCGCCAGCTGCAAGATTAATGGCAACGCGTTTAATTTGTTTTTGGGTGTTCTGCCGACGAGCGTGAGCCACTCAAACGGAAACCTAAGCACCACAAAGGACAGTCGAAGACAGTCTTATGCAGCTCAAGTCGCTGGGTAAGTGTAACTCACTCCCATTGACACGTTGCCTCGGCTGCAGAGCTCTGCTAGGAGCTATGAACTGAGTATTAACTTCTGCTACTCCTTCATTCACTCACTCGGGACTTCGACTATTATATAATTTTGAAAGCAATCATTATCAGCATAGTATTAAGCAATCCATAAGCGTGTAATTTCGTTTAGCACAATGTGAAAATAAATGTCTTGTCATCCAAATTGCCGCAAACAAAAGCCAAGGCGTGGCCTGCAGACATTGCAGCTGTAGTTGTTGCTTTTCCACAAAATGCTGAAAATGCATGAAAATTATAACGCATCAGTCACGACACGAAAAAAGAAAACAACGGGAATTGCTTTCTTTTGACGGACATTTGCAAGGCATTTGTGCCAAACTCTTTTAGGTAACTGGAAAAGCTGTGTATAACAACAAAATGGCTTATTAGGAAGAGGCGAAAGAAAAGGCAAAGCAAAACAAAGCCAAATAGAAACAGTAGAAGATAAATCTTTGAAAATTTCTGATACTTCGGCTCTATAATATGCAAATTAGAGTTAATAACATGGTCCGGCCGCTGCATAAATTAAGAACCAAAAATAGATTTTGCCCTTTGAAATAATAGACCAAATCAATGAGCTGCCTTGTTAGAAGAGTCGAGCACTCGGCGACTGCTCAGCAACTGTCTAATAATAATGAAATATTTCCTAAAAGAAAACAAAACCAAATAGATGCGCCCAGCTATCGGCCACAAAGGCTTTGTAAGACATGGTTGTCAATGTGTTGCCTTGTTGTTGTTGTTGTTGTTATTTATGTTGCTCGATGCGGCCATACTAATTTCAAATTTAAATCTTACGCTGTGACCTTTCATGCCTACCAACCATATCGAGATATATGTAGATGTACGCACAAACATGTGTAGAGACATACATACATAAATAAATTTATATATATATATATATATTTATATATATTTGAGTGTATTTTTCTTAATTTCGAAAGCGTATTAAATTACACACACACACACACACACAAAAGAAGAGAGGGAGAGAAAGAGGCGATGCACGCTCCTCAACGGTTCTGTAGCTGTGCCAGCGACCCCGCCTCCGGCAGCGCTGCCGCCCCCGCCCTAGCCGCAGAGTTGAAACAAGAATTTCAAGTATGTTTAACCCAAAACACAACACAACACAAAACTGAGAACCGAATCGATTCTGTTATTCTGGGTCTCAGTCTCGGTCCCGGTCCCGGTCTCGGTCTTGTTCTTGTTCTTCTTGGTCTCCCTGGCATGCCCAGGGCCGGGGCTTAAAGTATTTCACAGGAAATCTTCGGAAACGAAACCCAAGCAACAATATGTTCTACACATTTCGTATTTCTTTCTTTTTTCCATTTCGGGCTGCTTGCTCCGTTTGCTGCGCTGTGTGAGAAATCGAAATCCCAAAAACTAAATCCCTATAATGCCTTTAAGGGGGGCACAGAGACTGCCGCACGCACACACTCACACACTCGCACGCACGGCTACATTTGTGTTTCGGTATTTTTTTTGTGCCCCTACTCTGCCTCTGCAGCAAGTCCCCCTTCCCCAGCCAGCAGAGTCAGCAGAGCCCGAGCGTGCGCACAGTCTATAATAATGATAAGATGGCTCTTAATCAGAAAATTTATATGGGCCCAGCATTTAGTTGTTGCTGCAGCCTTTTGCTCTGTCTCTGTCTCTGACTCTGACGCTGACGCTGACGCTGATGCTGATGATGGGTTATGCCCGTTTATAATTATGGGTCCTGTCAAATGCTAAATGAAGGGCGCATCAAAAGGCAGCCAGCAAGTCACAAGCCATACAATTTTCAGTTTAGAGCGTTACGCTATGTTGCAGATTGCTCTTGTTGGCCAGTTGGTTGGCATGACTGCTTGGCTGCCTGGTTGGCTGGCTGCAGATCGCACTCTTGGCCATTTTGCAGCCTGCTGGGCGTGAGTCTGGACAGTGAATTTTCATTGGTCGAGACTCTGACTAGTTATATAAATATGACTTAAAGAGAAAGCTTACCGCTTGCACTCGTTCCGAAATTGTCTGCAATGAAAACAAGAGATGAAAGTTGAGAGTTTAGTGAAAGAATGCATATTAAACGATAAAGATAATTATATATAAACAGAGGGAGAGAGGCAGGGAGATTTCGCTGCGATTTTGACGCCCGTCTTTCACTCTAATTTAATTAACGCCAGCAGCAACAAACGCTACAACCCGATCTCGGCAAACAAACAAACCGATGAATTATCTTCCTCAACAAGTTCAATTCGCTGGCATACGAAAATTTCTCAGACCTCAAAGCTCCAACCACAATAAATCTTTTCCCATATTTTTTTCTGTGTGACCCAGGCTCGAATCACAGTTCGCCTGCTGGCTAACCAAACAGCAAAAAAAAACAACAACAAAAAAAACTGAGTAGAAAACAAAATTGTTTTAAATTTTCGTGCAGACTTTGACCGCAGCCTGTTGTTGTTGCCATAAAAATATGATATATATTCACACACTCTCGCACGCATTGTGCAGCCGAGCAGAGGGGCAGCAGGGCAATCAATCAAAAAACTATGGAACCTACGGCATCAGCTCGAAGTGTGAACCAAAAATATTTGGAGCAAATCAAATGCAGCAAATCGGAGTACGCAAAAAGTCCAAAACGAAATATACAGGCTGCCCATTTAAACCACATACATATAAATGTAGAAATATGTTAGGAATATATATTTAATTTTATGTTTTTTTTCTTCATTCAACTTTTGATTTCGGCTGCTGCTCTGTGCTCACACGCAAATCAAATGTAGTTGCCCTTTGTTGGCTTTTTATGGGTTTGGTCGGCTTTGCATAAAGTTTTCTTTTGTTTTTAATCACCTTCAGCCTGGGGCATTATGCAAATTGAAGGCGAGCTTAGCTAGATCCGCAGTCAATCTTCTAACTCATCTGCTTTTCGGGTTGTTTCTGATATATTTTTCGTCACTCGAGGCTGGGATAAGAGGCTTAAGCATGGCAAAAGCAGACGCAAGATATATCACGATATCCATATATATATAATATTCAGCTCGGCAGTTGATTGAGCCGATCAACTTGTGCTGGTCTTTTTGCTTCAGCAGTCATTTAGCCAGCTTGTAATAACATGGCTAAGAGTATTTTGTGAACTGCGCATTGGACTTTTGTTACAGCTGCGCCAGGCATTCGCAGCTCCTCAGAAGATCGACTTCGTCTGCGTCTGCGTCTGCGTCTGCGTCTGCGCGTTCTCTTGTCATTTAAGTCATCGAACACGCATTGCTACATTGTACACATGTAGAATGTTTTGTGGTGTCGGTGGACGGTGTCGATGTCAGTGTCCTGCAGCGGCCATTGCAGTTGGCTTTAGCAATCCATTGCCATTGCCATTGCCATTGCCAATGGCCAGAGTCGCTGGCCCTGGCCCGCAGTTCATAAATAATCGTCTTAAGTTGATGCGGTGACTGTCGGCGGTCGCTGGGTGGTTCGTGGTTCTCACCAAGGCCTCCAAGGCATTGCGACAGATTAAGCCCGGCCAACGGCCATCAGTTACACACACACACACATTGCACAAAAAAGTTGCTTTGTTGTTGTTGTTGCAGCCGCAGCAAAACGCATTAAAGAAAGCCAACGCAAGCCGTTCAAATATTCCAAAAACGTTTCAATGAATGTCGCCGACGCAGTGCCTCAATTTTTGTCACTCTTCAGCTGCCTCTCTCACTCTCTCTCTCTCTCTCTCTCTCTCTCTCTCTCTGTTGCTCTCACGACAAGAACAAGTCGTGTCTGATCCCATTTTAATATTCTAGATACTTAAATAAAATACGTGTCTGGCTTGGCCAACAAACGTTTATTGTTTGTTAATTGATTTTGCTGGAAGTTGTCGCCGTCTGTTAAAATGCAAAGTGCAACTTCGAACAAACTTTGCCGAGCGCAAAAAAAAAGTAAAACAAACAGAAAGGCAACAGCAAAGTGTACTCAAATAGCATTTGGTATGCAAAATTTGTTTGGCCCGTCCGAGTTGGACAACTTGTGGGTCTGGGCTTAGGCAGCGCGGCAGTTCTGGCTCGGGCTCGGGCTCTGGCTCTGGCTCTGGCTCTGGCTCTGGCTCTGGCGGGGCTGCCTGGGACGCAATTAATTTGCAGACAGCGAAGCTGTAGCTCAGCCTTGAGGCAGCGGCCAGCAGTTGACAATTGTCAAGGACTGCGTCAACTCAGCTTGGCGACTCACAGTTTGACAGTAGGAGGGAATGAGGTGGGAGAGCCAGCGGGGGGAGGCTGGCGACTTGGGTCATTTAACGGTAATTACCAAAGCGCGACAGAAAAGTTTCTGCGAAAAACGTGTGGAGTGGAAAAGCGCCCGGCTCAAGTGCCGACAAAGCGGCCAAGTGAAGCATAAAAATGAAGCACCCAAAAAAAAGTCGAGAAAAAAAAACGTTGTAGAAAAGCCAACGGACCACACGATTTTCCAAATGCCCGCCAAAGAGTAACAGAGTCAAGCGCGACTCCAAGTCTATTTATGTGGCTATTGAAGTGGGCCTCGTCTCTTGGCTACACTTCAAGCCACACCACAACCGCACTCCACTCCACTCCACTCCACTCCACTGAAGTGGTTGTGTTTTTTTGGCGGCTTGGGCTTTGATTTTTGCTTGATTTCTTTCAAAATCAAGCCAGCACAGCACACACATGCTCAGAGGGCCCAAAAGAACGTCGAACGTCGAACGTCGAACGTCGAACGAGGCGGAGTTCCAGTCGAAATAGAGATGCAGATGCACAGAGGAGCGAACGCTCTGCTGCTGCTCAGCAACTGTGACGCCATTTTCAGGTACAGAACCACAGCCAGCGTATGCAAAAGAGCCAGAAACAGAGCCAAAAACGCAGACAGAGCCCAGGCCAGGCCGAAGAACATGTCCAAAGGCGAACCGCCAAAAGGATAATCAGCAACAATTTAGTATTATTACACCACGTTCGAAGCCATCGCAGTCTAAGAGGAGCAAAGCTGCAGCGCACACAAAGTTGTCTGTCAGTTTTTTGTTTTGTGTTTTTTCTTTTCTTTTTTAAGCCATAGCCACGAGGCCAAAGTCGAGGCTGAAGCTGGAGCTGCAGCTGGAGCTGGAGCTCAAGTATGCATTTCAAAGAAAATCATTATTATCGATGCGGCAAAGGAGTGTGAGGAGCTGTGTAGCTGTAGCTAAATCTGTAGAGACGACGGACCAAAGAACAGACTAGAGACGATGGACAGACGGACGGACGCTCGGTTGGACGGCTGGCTGACTGGCTAAGCCGCAAGTTCATTCCTTTTGGGTATTTTCACGTGGACGTAGATTGAGTTTCAATGGAAAAATGATTTGCAAATTGACTTTAACGAATTGCTCGAGTGAGCAACCTGCTGGCATTTGGAATTTTGATTACAGCATAGACTCACACACACATTCTATGACTGTGTGTGTGTAGTGAGCATTAGAAGAAAGTTTCGTGTAATTGGCAGAACCTATGCAATGCGGCTACACTAGGCAACAAAATAAGGGAAATGAGCTATGAAGACTTACTCGAAATGGAATTTGACATCCTGTTGAGATATTCTTGATTTGAAACGTAAAAGATATATCTAGATTGAATGGAAACATTTGGCATTGGCTGATGCATTGGCTACAAACGCCATTATCAGCATCATGGACGTGGCTAGTTGGCCAGTTGGCCAGTTGGGGAGCCTAGTCGCAGTGCCTTTGTTTGGCATTTTTGTGGCCTGTGGCAAGTTCGTATATCATTATAGAAATTACCTACTGCGCCTGGCCGTGAGGCAGCAGCAGCAGCAGCAGCAGCAGCCATTGTTAGTAGTCGCTGCCATTAACGTTAACTCTTTGGCACAATCTGGCCAACAGATCTCGCTGCTGGTGCCGGCGATAGCGCAACAAAACAATCGCAAAAAAGTATAAAAAAGACAGAGAAAAAAGAAAAACAATGCCACACCACTGTCATGCGGCAGGTTTCCGTTTAACAACCCACCAAAAAAATAAGCCAAACTAAATACGATATTGTAAATCAATGAAATCTAATGGAAACATTGACGTCAGTTGCTCGCTGGTTCGTAAGACTGATAAAGGTTCCAAGAGACGCGGCGCGGCTGGGGTGAGCGGTGCTGGGGGTAAGTCAAGTGCAGGCGTAGTACTTACCAGGACTGCCAAGGAAGACTGAGGAATACAATCGCCGGGAGGCGTCTGCGTTGCGAGCATCGGCAGGTGAGGACCATTCTCTTCGACACCATCGTCCTGCAAAGGGAAATTGGAAAAGCCGCTCATTAGTTATCAGAATAAAAATAACATCAAATTTATGATAAGGTTGCTAGCTATCTATGCGTAAGCTATCATATCTGAGGCTCTTAAGTTCTTAAGCTATGTCGCTGGCCGCTCAAAGCCCCCGAAAACCTGAACTCGATTCAACTCAACTCAACGAACTGTCGCACGCGATTTGTAACACTTGTCAAACTTTCAAGATTTGCACAATATTGACAGTATGTTAAATATGTTAAGCTACACACACACACACACACACACAGATACATTGACTGACAGGTGGAACGCTTTGAGCTTACGCCCACAACTATCTAAAGCTTATAACCTCCGCTGCCTCGAGCTGCTGGAGGCAACTGCTCTCAGCTTTATGGGCACTTAAAGCGCATAAAACTTTAAATGAAAAAGTGTACAAAATAAGATGAAAATGGCGTTAATAATAATTTGGTTTATTGGCTCTAAGGCCACAGAATGAAGTCGAGACTCTGGCCAAGTGCCTGGGCGTTGCCAGCGCAGAGGGTGGCTAACTCTCGCCCCAATTTCTATTATTTTTTTTTCGCTTCTACTTCTCAGCTGAGGGCGTCGCACCTTTATTTAAAATTCTAACTTGGCCAGCACAACAACAACAGCAACAGCGTTGAGGCGTCTGCCTCGTTTTCTTAATGGCCAATTTTCTTGGTAGTAATGGGCACGTTTTATGGGCGCTTTTGTGGGGTGTTTATCGTGCACACAAAATGCAGTCGAGGGTTGACAATGTGGCCATGCTTAGTTTAAAGCAATATATATATTTTAATAAAAATATTAATGGCATATTAGATGTCGCAGCTGTCGCACCTGTTTAATCAAAAAATGCGCTCAAACAATCAGCAAAACAAATGACGGAAAACAAATAAAAGCAAAACAAATTAATTGAGTTGAGCTGAGCAGAGACAAAGACCAAATTGTTCGCACATAAATCTTTGTACTAAAAATTTTATTGTCGTTTTTATAGTTAAAAAATAAAATAAAAACAAAAACGTAAAAAAAACTACTCAAACAGCAGCCCGAGCCAAACAGTCTGCGCTGAAGCGCTCTCTGAGAGAGGCACACACACACAGATAGTCTCATGCACACACTCATGATATTTCCCCGTCGCCGTATCGTAAGCGTATCGTAAGTTGAGCACTCTGGCTGCCTGCTTATATCGTAAGAAGGCAGCGCCATTGCTTAGCTGCCTGCAGCTGTCGCGCTTGTGCAAGCGAGACGGCGCTAGTCAACTGCTGGCTGTGTGCGTGTGCGAGGCGAATTGAAGGCGAATTGAGTGGCGAGACGCAACGACCAGTCAATATAAAGGTTGTTGTTGTTCTTGTTGTTGTAGCTGTTGCTGTTGGCGCTTTTTTTGTTTGTAGACGCCAAAGCCAAGTTAATGATTTTGTGTATTGTTTTTGTTTTTTTTTTTGGCTGCTTATTATGCAATGTTAAATCAATAAATTGACAAAAATGTGCGCACCACAACTTAAACAATCGCCGAAAAAAACAACAGAAAGAAAAACGATAAAGAAATATTTTCCAAATAGTTTTCCAAGTCCGCTGTTGTTGAAGACGACACGATTTTATGACATTTTAAATAGCCGGCGTGTTTTTGTCACAATTTCAAGATGAAAAACAAAACGAAATATTTGTTGTTTCGCCCTCAGCGTCAGCCCCATTTTCCCAGTTTTCCGTCGCTATTTATAGCCCAACTATTTTTGAGTGTCACGCCACTCCCCCACCCCTGCCACTCACACCCCCACCGCTGACGCTCTTAAGTGCTGATAAATGGCGCTAGACTCTTTTGGCCTGTCATTAGATTACAAAGCCGATGAGAAAATGTCCCAAAGAAAACCAAAAAAAAAGTCCCAAATGCAATGCATTCTTATCAAAAAGGCACAAAGTTCAAATGCAGCTCAAACAACGAGTGACACACATACGCATACACACACACATACACACGAAATGAATTTTCCATACTGCAGACATTTCGACATTTAGAAATAGAAGCCACCCCAGACAACAACAACAACAACAACAACAATTGAACCCCAAATACCAACGTCTGTTCTGTATCTGTAGCTCTGACTGTCTCTATATATATATAAATGTATATGCATATGTGTGTGTATGTGTGTGTGTGTTTAGATAAAATTGTGTTTCGAAAGTGACAGTTGAAATGATTTATCACTTGCCAGCGACTACTGCAAGGCGCAAACGTCTACCCCATCCAGCAGCAGCTAACAGCCTCGTCGCCCCTCTACCCTCTGCCCTCTCCCTGCTGCCCCGCCCCACCCACTGCCTTGTGCTGTCTGTCGTCAAAGTTTTTAGCAGCGTTTGCTTCGTCGCTCGCATTTTTGTGTAGAAAAATTGAAAATTGCTTTTTTTTCTCCCGCTTGGTGCACTGAGCGCGCCTGAGAGTACCCCTATTGCTGGCCACGCCCCCGCGCCCCCTCCAAAAAACATTGTTGCTATCACAATCAACTTCATCTTTCCAATTTTCTACTATTTGGCTTTGTTTCCCCAACAACCCGGCCTCCACCCACTCACACATTGTTGCCGCTGAGTTTTTCATATGAAAATTTAATTCCAGCCCCCAAGTCGGGCCACCCAGTCGCCCCCATTTTCATTTCGCTCTCTCTATCTGTGTCTACGCTGTGTGTGTTGCGAGCTAATTTAAAAATTTTTGTAATTTTTTCGCCTTGCTCTTTTGGAATTTTTGCAATGCGCGACAAAATGATTTATGTCGCTGCCTGCGCAAAATTAAAAATATTACAAAGCAACAACAACAACAACAACAACAACCAAATGACAAAACGACAACAATGTTCACATTTAAATAACACACAAAACGAGCAAAACATAAAAATATTTAAAAACAACAACAAGTAAATGCATATATCTATATCTATACATATCCATATCTATATATATATATATTATATCTTTATATGCATGTGTGTGCGTGTGTTTTTTTGCTTTAAACTTTAAACGAAAATGTTGCAGGCAAAATGTTTTCGTTTTTCTTCTCATTCTTTTTTTTTTTGTTGGCTTTTCCCAATTTTATGCCAAACAATTTCGAATGACGACAATGAAAAAAAAAAACAAAAAGAAAACCGCAGCAATTTTTCATCATTTTGCACGTGTAAATTTTCCAATTGGTTGAGCGTGTGAAATGCGAGCCAAGTGGCCAGAGCTGGTCGGGGGCGGGCGCATGTGGCTCCCTTTTGGCTAGTGGGCGTGGTCAATCGAAGCTTTAATGAATGCACTTAATGCCAGAGCAAAATCAGCCGCCACAGGTGCCCAAAAAACTTGCAGGGCAGGTGAGCAACTGAACTACCGCTATCTTTTGGTAGCAAGCTCCATTTGCCGTCGGCTGGCTGTAAGTACTTTGACCATATTCCCAGACGGGCAGCCAATGAATAGCGCCAGACAACAAAACCCTAACCGAAACCGATACCCAAAACCAAAGTCCAAAAAGAATTGTGAAAAGAGTAGCCAGGTGCTCAGATACCCTGTAACTAGACGTCAAACTCTAGCCTATGTAAATTATTGCCAATATTTAGCTATTTTTACCGTGAGACAAACAAATTAACTTAGTAAATTTTATCAAATATAAATACTTGTTCATATTCTAAATCTGACTAAGCTTGTTTCAAGGTAATACGATACACTTTACATATTCATTATTCAAAAAATTATTTACTGAATGTATAAAAACCAATTGGACCTCATCTAAAGAAGGGAACTTCTTAAAATAACTGAAAGATAAATTTGAATCTGAACTATTGCATATTAATGATATTTTAAATATCAATATAGCTGAAGATATCGTAAAATTGTAAAAAAATTTTTATAATATAACATTAAGATTGAATATAATAGAAAAAATGAGATTATTTATTAAAATATTATTTAACATTAAAATCTATCTGATTTTAAAATTGGAAATTTTTATGTAAATATTTGAAACAATACATGTGATCATTTAATTGTATATATTTATGCATAAAAATATATATTTAAATGATATATTTGTATATTTAAACATTTTAAATTGCGTTTAAGTCCATTTAAGCTTATTTCTCATTCTATCACATTTTCGACTCTTGTGTCTCTCTCTCTCTCTCAGTATTTCTCTCACTCTGCCAGTTCTCCATTTTATTTTTCTTGTTATTTACTGCAACATTTTACAAACGCTTTTGTGTAATTTTTTGCATACACAAACAAATTTTATATGCATTTTTTTTTTGTTCTCAATTTTTTAAGCAACAAACTGTAGAAGGGGTTGACTGTTACCTTGCACACTCTGTACTTTAAGTGTATGAAAAGTTATTTTGAAACGAAATTAAATTTTTTGAAAATGTATCTTACATATTATATTATTTACACATTGTTATTAAATAAATATTATGAATAGAAATTTTGTTTTATTTTTTTTTTTAATATTTAAAAATCGTTATAAAATATTTCTTTTCATTTTTCAGTTTGCAAGTTTGTTGTGAATTATTAAATTTTCAAAAAATTGGATTATTCATTCATTAAAAAACAATGGAACATTCATTTTTTCTATTTCAGTTGCAGTGTAAAGGGTATTTCTATAGTGAGTAGGCTCAGCTTTGTAGATTTCACCTATGTTTTCAGTTTGGCCGGAAGGTGGCGCTGCTGCAGCTGCTTTACGACTGTGCAAAAGCGGCAGCAACAACAACTGGGTCTGCTGTCATTGCTGCTGCTGCTGTTGTTGTTGTTGTTATTATTGTTGGCATTTTCCGTTGGCAATTTTTACAACATTTCCCATTTTTTGTTAAATTTAAATGAAAAAAGCTTTTCACGCATAGTTATAAAAATAATGCCAGACTTAAATGTGCACACAGTGCGAAAGGGACAGCAAAAGAGAAGTGAAGCGTGGCTGTGGAAGCGAGACAAATGCTGCTGCTGCTGTTGTTGTTGTTGTGTTCGTGTCTAATGCA